AAGCAAAAAAATTTAAATTATAAAATGAAAATAATGTCAAATAAATAAAATTTTAAAATAATAAAGTAAAATGTAAAAAAAACTTACCGTCGTCCATTCGACAAAGGCAGAATGTTGAATGCGGTCCGGTTCCTACGTTGTCCTCCAAAACTGGTGCCAGTCCTCTTCGAGATTGTTGTTGAAACACAGCCCCGTGTCGATGGAGAAAGATAGAGAAAGAGTAGATTCTCATCAGAAAGCTTAGCGGTGCCTGCATCTCAAATTGCTTAATAAAAATAATCCTATCTACCTATTCAATTACCTTAGCTAATATATATTAAATTATTAATGGTACGATAGTCGAAAGTCCCCCTTCATTCTCCCTCCTTGCACAGAGGTTCACCGACAGCCAGGGCACCGGATAGTAAACCATTGCCGTGCGGGTAGTAGACTATTGCCGTGCGGATAGTAAACCATTTGCCGTCCGGAAGCCGTGCGGGTAGTAGACTATGGCCGTGCCGCATAGTAAATCATTACCGTGCAGATAGTAAACCATTGCCGTCCGGATAGTAAACCATTGCCGGTTCACCACTGGCCACCAAGGCTTACCTCTGACAAGGGACTTCGAAATTCAGAGTCTATCGGCTATCGTACCCTCAACTTACCTATTCACTACAATTAAGCCCTAGCTTACCTAATTTTACAAAACTCAAGAGCCCAATTCATTGGCCTTTCGGCACCCACCCCACCACCTACGTAATGCCTTATACTCGTTTCAACCATACATTTTCATCATTTCAATCATTCACATCAATAAAAAACTTATTTAATGTATGTACTACACTATTATACAGTCTTAACCAAAATGCTAACCGTACTAAATTGAAGTCATCGAACGAACGCCTTCGAAACTTTCTGGTTGGCTGGTTGAATCTGCTATATTGCTTTTCATATAAACATAATCTAATCTAATATAATTTAATTATTTGTATACATGGATTCCAGTTACTTTATATATATATATATATATATATATATATATATATATATATATATATATAGTAAAAATTCATTATAAAAGCAACAGTAATCAGTGCTATATGTCAGCACGCAGCTCAAATTTTTCGGGGAGAATTCAAAATTGTTTGAGACCACACCTTGATTAACATCCAATTCCAAGCCGAGCCAAGCCAAGCTGAGCCAATATGCATAAATTCATTATAAAAAAAACAACAGTAGCCATTACTATATATGTACGCACGCAGTTCAAATTTTTCGGGGAGAATTCAAAATAGTTTAAGACCACACCTTGATTAACATCCAATTCCAAGCCGAGCCAAGCCAAGCTGAGCCAATATGCATAAATTCATTATAAAAAAAACAACAGTAGCCATTACTATATATGTACGCACGCAGTTCAAATTTTTCGGGGAGAATTCAAAATAGTTTAAGACCACACCTTGCTTAACATCCGATTCCAAGCCGAGCCAAGCCAAGCTGAGCCAATATGCATAGATTTATAAGCGCTTTTATATTAAAATTTTGCTCGCTTTTTAAACGAATATCCCAATATAACAAATTCTCCATCCTATTTTAACTTTCTTTGATGCTTTTTAATCAGTCAGGTCACAAAAATCATTAGTAATATCGCAATGAAATCAATTTGAAATTTTTTTTTAATTATTGATAAAATTTTTAAATTGTTGATAAAAATAACTAGTATATATAGTGTAGTAAAACGTTTAAAATTTTCTGAGAGAATTTAAAATAATTTGAGACTACACCATAACACAATTGTACAATTTGAATGTGTAAATACAACATTATAAATGTATTATAACTACATGTCTATTTCTTTATTTAGTTCTGTCTGTGTATATTTTGTCAAATTTATTTGATAGGAATTGAATATAACCCTTATACCGGCTGATTAACTACCATGCAGTAAAATAACTACTGTTGACACCATTTCCTCCAACGATTTCGCAACGAATTGCCCATACCATATAATTAGTATAAACTCTTTCAATCAATGTTTAAATTTAAATAATCAATAATTTAGTTTTTAAGTAAATTTTCATTTTCGTAGCTATACACAAACATGCCTACCTGTTGCATTTAAAAATTGCATTAATAATAAATAGAAATGAGAAAATTTCTGATGCATCTTTTCACAGGTTTATTTTCAAATTAACTTCACACTAAAATAAATGTAACAATATCCCTATACTCATTGAATAGAACTATTTTGTTTTACAATTACATATATTTTATTTTATAGACTATTATAATTTATAATTTTATTATTAAAAGCAATACTTAAGAAATGCACAAGTTTCTGTAACAGTTTATAAAATTTCAGATTTCCTCAAAATGTAAAAATGCAAAACGATTGGATTAAATGCATCAGACAGGAAATAAATGATTTCAAATGGCTTCCATCAAAAAATGCAAGAATATGCAGTGACCATTTCTGTAATAAAGATTATAAGGGTTATGGTGGAGAAAGGAAGGTAATGCTGAAGAAAGCATTCCCATGTTTTCAAGTTAGTTATATTTATGTCATCAGTTGCACAAGGAAGCAATTCACATCATCATTGTACATTGCAACATTCTTATCTATACAAAAAATATAAAATGCATTCACCAATATTCCATGTATTTTATTAAAACTTAGAAAGGGTATAATGACATTGTGAATAATAAACCCTGCTTAGGACTGGGATCATCATCATCATCATACCAATCACCATTACAAGTAGAGTCAATTTTATATTAATGCTTAACAAGTTAACTAAATTGGCATAATCAAGTTTTTATATGAAATACACATCAAGTATTTAATGTAACAAAAAAATTAACAGAAAAATTTTTGGAAAAGTTTAAAAAAATTAGAACATATGACTCTGATCAAAAATCATTCGCGTTGACACTGCATTTGTATGGGCATAAGGAATATGATTATCTTTGGACAAATGGCTTACATCTTCCTCACACTAGGACATTAAGAAAGTAATCTTGTCATATCTGTTCAATAATTTTAATAAGATTGTTTTAAATAACTATTTTCAATGTCATTTTATTAACACTACATTAAAAGGTGGTTACAAAACATTGATGGTATGCCTGGGGTGATTTCTACAAACCTTATTGACTAATGGTGATGGGGATCCTCTGGAACTGTAGGATCATGACATTCAATCTAGTCATGGATTGAGAAATCAATCCTTGATATATTTGATAACAAACATTTATTATAATATAAGAATGAAAAAAAGATGTAGGCAAATTCTTACTTGGAACTATTATTTTTAGCATTTTATGATTTATTTTTTATTTATGACTATCCATTTTCAATGATACCGATATTTTTAATTATTATTATCCAAATTATACTCATGCCTATATAAATTAATTTGATTGTGGCTATTTCTATGCTTAATCATTTTATTTACTTGTCATAGGTATGCACAGCATTTAATAAATTAATGATAATAATTAATAACACAACATTCTAAGTGCATAAAATATAATAAATTAAAAGTACAATTTTTACAAACCTCATTGGTTACGGTGATGGGGATTCTTTAAAACTGAATGATCATGATCTAACAAGTCATGGATTGATGAACCACTGGAATCACACATTATCTTTAATAAATTTAATAACAACATGTACTACAATTTAAGAATGAGGAATATTTTGTAACACATTAAATTAAATAAAAAAAAATTTAGTTTGAATCACTCATAATTAATAAATTTTAATTGAATTGCAAGTTAGCTTGGGGAGTTTGAAGCTTGAATTAAACAAATTACAAAATTGTTTATTTTATAAAATTAATTGATAAGTTGTTTAATATATTTATTTAATTTAGTATATTTTTTATTCCCAGACCTAAGCATTGTAAATAAAAATTTTAAAACCAATCAAGCAATAGAATTTAGGATCTTAGGAACAAGTGCTGTTAGTCGTTAACTGTAGTGGTTGGTAGTTTCTAGTAATCTAATCTGTTAATGTTCGTTAGTGTTATCTGTTATTTATTTCAATTAGTAATTAGAATCAGTAGAGTTTAGTTTTAGCTTAATTATTAAAGTTTAGTAATTTAATTACTAATTAGTCGTCGTTTAGTGATGTTACAGTTAATTTTTTTAATGAGTTAAGGAGTTGTTGGTGGTTCACAAAAAATTTTTTTTATTTAAAATGCAAAAGATACCTAACCGTCATACAGCAATGTCTATCCTAAAACAGCATCTAGTACCTTTTAAAACATTTTGAAATTTTAAATAAAAGCAATATTCCGAAATTAGTAAATACACGATCGTAACTTTTGACTTGGGCGATAAAAAATTACCCTCCAATTTCCCTCCGGAAGTAAGCTCCTTGTTGAACCGTCAAAAATGAGCGAAGGCCGTTATATTTATTCTAATTATATGGAAGATACTTCATGAGTGAAAATTTTTCAAATTTCCCAGCACATCCCTTTTCAAAATTCAATTCTATCGTCCCAGATATTTTCTATTATCACTCAGTGGTTCGGCTGCTTGTCTTATTTTTTCAAAGACGATTTAAATTTAAAACGCGAGTTAATTACACATTTAAACTATTTTCACACTAAAACCTCTTTTTTAAATAATTAAATTAAATTAAACTCCACATTAATCAAAATGTCGCAAAGTTCGGCCTCATCCAACTCCAGTAGCAGCAGCAAAAGTCAGTATGAGGTGTTGAGAGAAAGTTTGAGAAAAAAATTGAGCGAGAAGAATTTTCTGACAGATCTTTTGGCCAGGGCGGAACTCTCAACTGGACTCGATCGCGTCAACATTGTTCTCGGTCGCCATTTTTAATTCAATTTTTAAAATTTAAATATTAAATAAATTCAATTGTAGAGCATTGGAACTGTTTTTTCATTTTTGTTTGTAATTCAGATTGTAGCAATTGTGGTTTATGTTTTTAATTTTTAATTAGTTTAACTTTCAATGTTTTTAGTGGCAAATAGGGTGCCTGTTATGAGTATTTTTTTATTTAATAAAATCCAGAAAAAGGACCGTTTATGAAATCTAGCCACTCTTTCACTCTTTCTTTGTTCCTGTGAAAATTTAAACATTTTATAATTTATATTAAAATGATTGGCTCTCCAAGTCAATGACAATTTGTAATGATAAATATATATAAGGAAATTCATAATGACCATGTTAATTATGATAAAGTTCTATTAGGGAGACAGACAGACAGATATAGATAGATAGAGAGATTTTATCTTGATAGATCTATCTATAGATATCTTTAATAGTTTAATATAACTCTCTTGTAAAATGGCTTTTGTGATTTATCTCTATTATTAAATAAATGATATCTCTATAATCTAATGAACGATATCTCTATAGTATAATTAAATAAATGATATGCAGGTCTCGGTATCTTGATTGGTTTGTATCTTATGATTGGATATGGCTCATCATTCCTATGCAATCTGATTGGATTTGCATATCCAGCCTACAAATCGTAATTATTTTTTTTTCTAGATTTCATTCAATCATTCACTCATACTTTATTTGTATGTTTTGTACTTATGTTTATTTGTTTTGCTTATTTATTATATCTATACATTTTATTATACAAGTATCTATATATATGTATATATCTATATGTATATATCTGTCTGTCTATTTATCTATCTTTCTGCCTGTCTGTCTGTCTGTCTATCTATCTATCTATATAATTCCACATAATTCACTATTTATACTTTTATACTGACTTGCTAACTAATTCTTCAGGATCAAAGCGATCGAGTCGAAGGATAAGGACGACGATACGAAATGGCTAATCTACTGGGTAGTTTACAGTCTGTTCCTACTCTGCGAGTACTTTGCCGACCTTCTCCTCTTTTGGATACCACTGTATTGGTTTCTCAAGGTCATTCCTCTATATTTTTTTCTCATGTGATTGTCACTTCATCAACCTTTTTATTTGTAAATCGTCAGTTTAAATTACCATACCCTTACCAATAACCATCACATTAAAAGAACATCGTCTCTTCATTACATCAGTGTAATCACGTTATCAATGTCACTTATTTTATGTATGTAATCATTGCTTTAAACTGTCACACCATTTCTAACACCATCACATCAACATCATTCCTCTGCATCAGTGCGTCTTTCTCATCTACTGCATGCTTCCCGAGCCATACAATGGCTCAATCTTTATTTACTCGAACATCGTCCGCAAGTTCTTCCTGAAACACCGAGCCACAATCGAATCCGGTGTCCAACAGGCCACTGACATTGGCAGGTCACTTGTAGATGAAGGTCAGAGTCGTGAGGGCGTGGTTTACGTGTGGTGGAGTTTTATAATCCTTTTAGTCCTCCATTTAATTGTATTGATTACTAAATCTCTTATTTACCTGCTTAAATATATGAAATGATTAATTATTTTATTAGTTAATTGGTCAATTAGTTAAACACATAGAGGTGACATTGATTATTTTTTTTTTAAAAGTTAAATGTGCTCTGAATTGAAGAGGTTTATGTTTGCGTTTTGTAGTTTATATACGTCCTACCTCGGGGAACCGGGACTCTGGATGCAAAACGAAGATTGATTTGATTGATTTTGTAGTTTATATGTTTAATGTCTATATTTCACTGTTTAACATCATTTAACATTAACGACCAACTACTTGATTTATGAACGATTCATCGCAGGCAAGAAGTTGGCGGAGGATTCATTGAATGATGTTCTCAGAAACAGTCTGAAGAGTGATTAGCCACTGACGGAAGAGAAAGACCAGCTCACCAACTTTAAATGACACAAAAATAACATTAAATCACCTTAAAATGACTTTAGACACTTTTCATCAGGCGTAAATCACTTTGGGTTCGTAAGGTCACTTTTAAATTTAGGATTTATTTGGTAGTTAGTTTGAGTAACCTGGCGAAAAAATATACCTACGTAGTCAATTATTATTACTATTATTGATATTTTTATTGCTATTATTTTTTTTTTACTATGATTATCATTATTATTACGCATTATTCAATTATATACGGCCAAATCACCTTAAAATTGGCTGAGTTAACATAATGAAGCTGCTTCTATACACGTGACATCAATCACATTTACATTACAACATATCGACAGAAATGACCATAAATGCATTACGTTACATTAAAATTACATTAAATGCGCCGAACATGACACGAGAAGACATTAAACACATCATTATACATTACACTGGTTACATCAGGTTAATTCACATCACCAGATTATCGCGATACGCTGTGCTGGTACGTAAGGTTGTCATTAGTAACATTTTCCATTGGTCTTTAGAGTTCCGTGTTGAAATGTTTCACATACGGGCACTTATTAATGTTCATTCCTTCGTTCAGTCGTTCGTTTATTCAATCATTCTTACGTTTGTTTAGTCATTTTTGCATTCATTCCTTCGCTTGTTTGTTCATTCATTCATTCATTTGTTTATTAATTAGTTGGCTAATTCATTCATTCATTTTGTCATTATTATTTATTCATTCGTTTTTTCATTCATATTTGATTCATTCGTTTTTTCATTTACGCTCATTCATTCCTAGTCTCTATCCTGCCCTCGTAATAGATTTCTATCCAGTTAATTTCATTTATTTTTGTTTATTCGTTCATTCTTCCATTCATTTTTCTTCAATAATTCTTTTGTTCATTCATTCATGAATTTTATTAAATCAAGTTTAATTTTTCATGCGTTCATTCATCCATGCATTCGTTAATTCATTCAAATTTTCAGTCAAACATTCCAAATCTCATTTCTTGCCATGATTCTTCAACATCCATCTTAAATTAATGTTGTAATTTTCGCATATGGACAAGTCATAAATGAGTTATTGATAGTCATTCATGCACGCACGCACACACGCACTGACAGATATAATTAGAAAGACAGACAGTTAGATAGATAGATAGATAGATAGATAGATAGAGACAGACAGACAGACAGATAGATAGATAGATAGATAGATAGATAGATAGATAGATAGATAGATAGATAGATAGATAGATAGATAGATAGGTAGGTAGGTAAGTAGGTAGATAGATAGATAGACAGACATAGAGAGATAGATAGACAGACATAGAGAGATAGATAGACAGACATGCATATCTATACCTACACATTTGTGACCATGGATTTATGTATGTTTATTAATTCAGCATCTCAACCCACCGATTATTCAGCTACGTTCTTTTCAATTCGTTGCGTGCGTGTGCGTGTGTGTCTGTATCTATCAATGTGTCTATGTGTGTATCTATTTTTCTTAACATTTGTATGCTAATACCATGTGTTCACTATATTTATTAAATCTTTATCGTTGTCTCTATATTATTTCATTATTATGATACTTTTGTTGTTTATTACTCAGCTATCAAGGTATATGTACAATGGCTGGTGTATTTCACTTTATTTTTGTTTGCTGTCTATAGTACTGTAATCAATCAATCAGTCAATTGCCATACAATCAATTTGTCATCTTGCCATACAATCAATCAGTCAACTTGCCATACAGTCAATCAGCCAACTTGCCATACAGTCAATCAGCCAACTTGTCATACAATCGATCAGCCAGCTTTCCATACAAATACGTCTTTGTTGTTTTTGCTTGAATTTCATACTGATTAAAATATCATTCATCGTTCTTCTTATCATCTATCATGTAGGCTGGCCCAGAAGGAATTTTACGGTTTGGGATAACGGTGAATGAAGTTTTATATCCAATGGAGGTTTTTTAAGTTACGTGATATCTCTAAACCTTTCTTTGGGCCACCCTGTGTTATTATTATTATAGCTGCTTTAATTTTATATAAATAATGGTTTTAAATATTGGTGATATTATTAATTTTATTTACTTTTTGTCTGAATCAATGAAAGTTTATGTGAGTTAATACTTGATTTTAAGAAATTCATAGCCAAAAAAATGAAATGATGGAGATTTAATGTGTTCTTTTATATTATTCCTATATAAATTAACGTGTTTTAAAATAGTAATTTGTTGTTCGTTCATACATTCATTATATTTATGTTGGTGTGGGTGTTATAAATACATACACACACACGTACGCACACCGCACACGTACACACACACACACATTCTTGGTATAGACATTAATAAACAACCAAGTCACTAACTACAAAGGTTTATTCAGTTTAATAAACTATTATTAAATTTTAAAGTATCTTACATTATCTGTGTTGAAGAAGACAAAACTCGAAACAGTCAAATGAAGATATTTGATGCAGTGCTTACAAGCTTCCGATCAAATCAGAAAATTAGGTTTCTGGGGATTTCTCTGCGTTCGAACCTGGTCACCAAACAGCTGTGTTCATGGTTTTTTAATTTGTCCGCAGCTATAAATAAGTTTGTAGACAAAAGTAACAACTGACGGTTGTATTACAAAGTTTATATAGGGTATGCGTTAAACTATTCTAGAAGTGTATGTGTATTAGTTGAAAACTTTGATAAATTCGTTTACAATTGAGATATAGATTTTAAACACGTATAATTTTTTTAGGTTCTTATACAATTAGTACAATATACTTGAAATATTTGAATGCGTCTTAGCTGAATCATAGTTGACAAAATCGTTTGATAATGATAATTGAACAAAAGATATATCACATTTTATAATCTGTTGGAAAAAATACCTACATTTGGTTGATTAGTGTTTAAATTAATTTAGATCGTATTTTGATGAAAATGTCGTAAGTATAAGCATTTTTTAATTGTTATTTATCAAGGTTGAAATAACATAAATATATAAAATATATGATTAATAAAAATTTATCAATTATAATTTATATATATTTTTATAAATTAATATGCAAATATAATAGATGTGGTAATGGTATAAATATATGTATATACATATAATAAAATATTATATAATCATTCATGTAGGAAATATAATATAAGAAATATAATGAAATCATATATTTAACTGAATAAATAATAAAATTGAAATATAATAATAATTATAAAACAATGTTACATTTTGTTTAATACTGTGTCATGAAATGCACGTGGTGAATTGTATTTTTATTACTTAGGTTTGCTTTTAGGCTCTACATTTTATAAATAAATAAATTTACATTGAAAAAAATTTTAAAATAAAATAATTTAATTGTTAAAAGTAATTAAGTTAAATTTATTTAATTATAATTGATATATTTAATTGAGATTTTAATTTTCAATTAGATTCGAACTTGACGATCATAGCTATTTTCGTAAAATGACGGTTGCTTTTTTTTATTTTTTTTTAAATTTATAGTTTTTATTTTTTAATATATATAATTTATATATATATATATATATATATATATGTATATGTATATTATTGTATATATTTTTTAAAATTAGGACTTCAATTCAGTTGTGTAAGTCAAGTTAGGTTACTTTACTTATTGGTAACTTTGTTGATTTACTCTTCTAGAATCTATAATCATAATGATGATCTATTCTTCTATCTATATTATTATTATTTATATGTATGTATAATTATATACCTATAGTATAGTATAGTTGTTTAGTATAGTCCTATAGTTATAGTAATCATAATGTTAATGTTAATTAATTTTAATGTTTATTATAATTTGGTTAATTATTTAAAAAAAATGTATATTTAAAAAAATATAATTTTAACATTTATTTTTATTTATATATAAACCAACAAATCCAACAACCAATCAGCAAACCATTCAATTAATCAACATACCAATCAACCAACTAACCAACCATCCAATCAAAAATCAGACCAAGGGGAAGCAGGCGACTAAAGGACAGAGGCAAATAGTTGAAGAGAACAAGGAAACATTACACTTATACTCAAGGATTGTTTTAAGTACTAATGTATGTTAACAATTAATAATAATTAATAATAAATGTTTATAATGAATATTAACAATCTAGTAGTCAATGAATAATGATTATTGTATCTTTATACAATTAACAATACTAATTTATATGATAATGAGTGAGTGATGATACACTAAAATGATAACATGATTAAAGTAATGTTAATGATTTGATTTGATGTAATTTCATTCTTTACAAATCAATTTTTATCAATTACATATTCAACTTTGCAGCTCATATTTTGACTTATTATTATTATTTTACTATTATTATTGTTATTATTATGTAATATACGATACTAATAAATGTTATTTATAATGGTAATAACTTTCATCACAGGCAGTCTATTTAGTCCTTACATGTTTGTTCTTTTGGAACTCATTCACCATCTTCTATATGGTTGGTTGGTTGGCTGGCTGGATGGTTGGTTGGTTGGTTGGTTGGCTGGTTGGTTGGCTGGTTGGTTGGCTGGTTGGTTGGTTGGCTGGTTTGTTGGTTGGCTAATTGGTTGATTGGTTGCTTTTTCACCATCATCCATCATCATCACTATCAACATTTTTTTCATCATCACTATCAACATCATCTTCATCATCATCATCATCATTTTCCTCACCATTCATCATCATCATTTTTAGTATCATCATCACAATCACCATCACCATCTTTGGTCTGCCGCCCACACAACAAACAGTTCATCTCAGTGCTAGCCTTGGGCATCATGTACGGCTCGTACCGGGGCATGCAGGTCATCTCCAGGCCCACCTACACGCAGGAGGGAGCCATCGCGGATTCCGGGGTGGACCTCAATATGAAGGAGGGCATGGCTGAGTTGGTGTGGGGAGGGTGATTGATTGATTGGCTGGTTGATTGGTTGGCTGGTTGATTGGTTGAATGAGTGAATGAATTAATTAATTGGTTAATCAATTTAGTGATCAACTGAATGGTTGGTTGATTTATTGAGTGGTTGACGAATGGATGAATGAATTTAAAAAACTTTTACTATCTTTTATCACAACAACAGGGAAGGGGGCACTGTCCCTTTTGGCCCCCTCCTAGATCTGCCACTTTAGGCCCTTTGAATTTAACAATAGCATCATAATGTTCTACTATGGCCAACCAGCTCCTTATTATTAATTTTTAATTTAATGAAGAAATTAAAATTTAGTTTCGTTTCGAATGAACGAATGTATGAGTGAAGCGATGAGTGAATGAATGAATGAACGAATGTTAAAATGAAACAATGACTGAACGAACAATTGAATGAATGAATGAATGAACGATCGGTCGATTATTTTCGATTTAAGTTCAGGCAGTTAGGACTATCTACAATTAATCAGACAGCCGCCAACCCATCCAACCAACCAACCAACCAAAACATGAACACCACACAAACAGGCACTTGAAAGACCTCATACTCTTCACTGGTGGGTTGCAACTGGCCTCCCTCATATCAAATTACTTCTGGCTACTGATCTTTGTGGTTCGTTTCGTTTTGTTATCCTTATTTTCCATCCATTCACGCATCTATCCATCACTATATCAATTCATTCATCCATCATGTCATTCATTTGTCTATCTTTCCATTAATCTATCAATTCGTTCATCCATCTTTTCATTCAAGTACCTATCAACCAGTTTATCTTATTGTTTATTCATCTATCCATCCATACATCTATTCATCTATCCATCCATACATCTATCCATCTATCAATTTATTCATCCATCCATCCGTCCATCAGATACCTGGTCGAGCATTCTACCTTCTGTGGGTCAATATTTTGGCGCCCTGGTTCTTCGCTGAGGCTCCGGAAGTTGACGAGAAGAAGGCCAAAAAGATGGAGAGAAAGATGAAGAGGGGCACGAAGTGATGAATGAATGAAATAGAATTATGGATGAATCAAATAGTGTGATGGATAAATTAAATAGGGAGTTGGATGGAGAAATTGGAATTATGAATGGATGAAATAATTTTAAAATGTTTCAATGAAATGGTTGACTGACTGACTGATTGTTGAAATGATCGATAGATGGAATGGACTAATGAATGAATGAATGAATGAATAAACTGAGTTTATTACCAACCATTACTAAAGAACCATGGTTAATTATGTTTACAAATGTGCTGTATGTATCGTGTGAGTTTTGTGTGTATATGTGTGCATGCATGTGTGCATGCATTGTATTTTCAAATAAAGGAATATAATAATATACATATATATAAATAAAACAGTAAACGGAGTTCGTTGTCATTGTCCAATCTTTTAAACTATGAAATCGCAACGATTCATGCGATTCGTGATTTTGAAATTTGCTCACTCAACTGTTTGATCGATGGATTAATTAATTAATTAATTGATTAATGGATTAATTAATTAATTCCATTAAGACGATGTACATTAAAACGGGAGCACAGTTGGTAAAAAAAAAGAAATAAAAAGTGTGTGAAATTGTTCGTCGATAGATACGTGGAAACATTTAAAGAAGAATCTAAAAAAGAAAAATTCGACATATATCAAAAGTTTGTTGAGGAGAATAAAAACAAATATGCTTTGTTAGACGAAAAATTTGAGAAACTTGGGAGCCTGCTTTCACGGAGTCACAACGACACATCGCTGTTGGATGATAATCATCAGTTAGCAATATATTTGGAATCGTTAACAACTGAGCGGCTCTAAAACATAATGATGGAACAGCAGAACTTCTATCTCGCCAACATGAGAAAAGGTCTTCCAAAGAGGCCAAACACGACCGTGTTCGTCCCAAGTCGGGTTTCCAAGAAAGGTGTCGTTGAAAATACTGATTGTCGTTCATTTGCGTCGGAACGACATCAATATATATATATATATCCCTTTATCAGAAATAAATTTGAGTTTGAGGAACGTTATATCTGTGGTGAGGATTTAAAGGAAGGGTCATTTGTGCACCATTTGCATTTTCGCCACGTCTTCCATGTGAAATGATTGGAAACCTGGTTCCAGCAAAAAACGTTATGCCCGTATTGTCCGACTGGGGTTGCAGGTAAAATAGAAATGTTTTACTTTTACGTGCATGAAATCGACGAGAATGAAGATAGTGTGGCCAGGATATGTGTGCTAACACTTCCTGAAGACTGATAATTCCTCTACGTGGAAATAATTATACATTCATCAATTTTATTTTTTGTGATTTCATTCTATTTGCGAAAACATTTAGGTCATTTGGTATTGATCTTAAAAAAATAAAAATTGTAAAATTGATTCAAATCTTTTCCCGAAACCATCGAAAAATAATCGAAATCAACATAAAAAGATTTAAAGGAAGACAGAAACTGTTTCTTTTTAAATCTTTCAACTGGATCACAAATCACGACATTCTAATGCGTTTTTAATGGAGTATTTTATATTACCCTAAGTATAATCGTAGCACCGATTTCTAAAATTTTATTCATATCATTTTTAATTAGTAAATTTGTTTCTTAATTTGTTAACTCTTCACGGTGAATTATTTGAGCGATGGGTCAGATTCTGCAGTAACAAAGGAGAACCAACAATAGCAAATTTAGCGTTATAATTAAAAGAATCATCAAACATACGGATTTCAGTTTACCTTATATTAAGAGTAAATTCACCGACGAAGAATATTTGATATGTTACGAGAATTTTGTAAAAAGAATTTTAGCACAGGTTGATCAGAATATATTGTAATAAAAATCGTAAATTATTCAACCAACATATCGTATAATATTTGGAATAGAGTTTAAATATTGTATGACAAACTAATGTGAATTTTTTACATAAATGATTTAACTCGCTTTTAAAATATAAATTTATTTAAGCTAAATAGCACAAAAAAGCGACTTCAATTCTTCAAACTCAGTAACTCAAAGATTACAAATTTTCTTTGAATGAAATTTCCACGTTTCTTTAGCACCTGTGTTTGGTTGAGAGGTGGATATTTTATGTAACACGTTCCCAAGAATGTGTTTTGGTTTTAATTCACTACAGCCTTACTTAAAATTAAAAACTGAGTTTTTTTTAGATAAAAGCAGTCTAAACAACATTAGAAATTTTTTGTTGCAACTTAAATAACGCTCAATATTATTGAATTTTGAGGTCAGTGTGATAATTTCTTAGAAGGTTATTAAACTATTTTAATATTTAAAGTCTGCACTCAGCGGTAAAATTAGGAAACAATTGTTAAAAAAATATTCAATCGATATTTTTACTAAAATTTATTCATTATGTCTATTAGATAGGGGAATGGAGATTTTCGATAATAATCAGGGACACTTACGTTACAATTGCCTCGACCACTTTATGGAAGTGCTGTATATTTGCAAACCATGTCGGCAGCCCATTTGTCAGTACTGCCATGTTTATCAACACAACACGCACGAAGTAATGTTAGTATCTGATGTAATTGATAAGAACAAAACGTTTTTAGACAATTATGCTCAATTAGCAGAAACGGAAATAAAGAACGTTGATGAGAATATTGAAAGATTGATGCCCTATACAGCAAATGCGAATCGTGCATTTGAAGAGATGCAAGCATATTATTCTCGAGAAATGGAAAAATTTGAGAATGACGAAATTCATAAAAGTTTAACATCACTCCGCAATGACAGAACCAAACTTAAAAATATATATATGGATTGTAAACTTAAGAGACGCAACATGAAGTTTTTGGTAGAGAATGAAGCTAGAGATATGGATATACAGTTGATAGGGAAATTTGAGCGGAATGTACTTCACGTAAATTACCAGCAGATGGAATCAAACTTGGCGTCTTTTCGAAATATTCTACGAAATTCCATTATAATCACAGGTATATATATGTCAACCACAAATTAATTATGAATTTAAATAATGTAGCACAAATTTTTAAATTATATCTGCTTTTTAAGAGTCAAGAATAAGAACTTTTTTGCTTTTTAGGAATGATTGAAAGAGATTTAATAAAAAATACAAATAATTAATTTTCCAAGGTTTAAAAGAAGATTTCGCATCCTTGGTCGACGAGATCTCCTGCGGTTCTCTGGTGACGTGTTTCGCCATCTCCGATCACAAGATTCATATCTGCACCGAGGACAAACTTCTGATTGTAAATGTTTTCAGACCCGATGAAGGTATCGTAGAAAAAACTTACAAAGGACTGGAAAACCTGGCAGACATTTTAGTTTATGGAAATAAATTTTACTTTTACCTCTCTAAAGGCGCTACCGATGTGTTGACCCTGAGATACCCGGAATTTAAAAAAGTTGAAAATATTTCTTGTTTTTCATTGAGCGGTGATACCATAATTGCAGCTCGTCAAATTAATGTTTTAGATCTAGAGACTGAAAGTTTGAAATTAATTCGTATTCAAACTTCAACTTTGGATTTATATCAAAAGAAGTTATATCAAAAGAGGTTGAGTAAATCAAACAAAGGTGAATTTACATTACACAATGATGAGTACATTTTGAGTGTTGTCAAATTTCGGAATGAAAATTACTTGATTGCTACTCAAACTGGCTTGGAAAGATTTTGCAGAATAAAATTATGGGATATATTTATGACATGGGATGCTATTAAAAAGTTAAATGGACAGGATCTGCTAGACTCACAGCATAATCATTCAGCAAGAATGTATGCATACTCCAGAAATATGACATCAACAGCCTTTTTGTCTCTAGATTCATATGACAACATCTATGTAATTAGCAATCATATTGAAGAAAATATTCTTGTAATTGACCCAAAATTTAACTTTTTAGCTAATATAACAACTGAATTTGTTCCGAAAAAGTTACAAATAACAAGAGATAACACGCTGTACGTCAGCTACGTCAATGAACCTCACATTTCCATCTATAAACTCAACTTCTTTAAAAGGTCCGACAACATGGAATCAGATGTTCAAGTAGACCAAACTGAACAAAAAGAAAAAGAAACAGTTAAAGATTGAAAGACTTTCAGATAAATTGACATTTTCCCGTGAATGTAAATAATAATTTTCAAATTTTGTAGCATATTAAACGATAATTTATCGCTGTTTTTAAAAATAACAGTTTGATGTATTTAAAAATAACAGTCAATAATAACCAGCCATATTTAAGTAGTCTTTTGAGAAAAATGACATAAAATGACAATTAAAATATTTTAAAACAAAAATTACTATCAGAAAAATTAATCGGCCCTAAAAAACTTAATTTTCATGTTTGTGTTGTAAAAGAAATAATTTCTACAAAATATTATATAATCAAAAACGAAATAAACCACAAACATATTTGTACTCTCTGCTTACTGTTTACCACATTTTTGCCTTCTTAATAAAAAATTTTTATCAATAATATAACTTAATTTCGTGATATAGATAATTGAATATCTTATAAGCGATTTCAACTAACCTGAATTTACAATATCAAAACTGTCTTACGCATTTCTTATGCACCTGTATTAGGTAAGAAACAGGTTTTCCCATGATAACTCGCTTCTAGATTGTTTCGTTTTTGATTTAATAACAAGTGGAAACTCTGTTTTATAACAAAAACTTGCCTAAACTTCATCAAAACCTTATTCATACAATTTAATTAATACTTATATTGTTAATACATTTTTAAATTTAAGTTTTTAGGTTAGTCTCTAAAATATTTAATCGATAATTTTAAAATTTGTAATCAACACTTGTCGCAAATTTAGTTGTAATATCTTACTAACTAACTAACTAACATCACAAATGAAACAGTTTAAAAATAATTTTTGATTTTAAAATTAATAAAAATTACATTTTTATTATTATCACATTCAAAAATATTTATCACAAAGGGAGACATGTCGGTTGTAAACAAAAATGGGCAGGAATATTATATGTGCGTTGTCCATAATAGCCAAGTGCATTTCATCTGTAAACCATGCCAAAAGCCAATATGCCCATCCTGTCTTGTTTCTAACCACAACACGCACGAAGTTTCGCTAGCATCTCAAAAAGTTCTGAAGAATAAAAACATTTTAGATGAGCTTATATCATCAACACAAGCGGAAATAAAAGTTGTAGATGACAAGATTGAAAGCTTAAATCACTACGTAAAAAACGCGAGAGATATTGTTGAAGAAATTAAAAAATATTTCAACGAAGAAATAGATAAATTTGTAAATGACAAACTCCTTTCAAATTTGACGTCGTACAGCGAGGATAAAGCGAAGCTCCAAAGAGCGCTGACGGATTATCAAACTAAGAAGAATGATTTGAAGTTTTTGACGGAGAATGAAGCTGAGGAAATGGATATAAAGTTGACTGAAGAACTTGACTTAATAATTCATCGCGTCAATCACCCGCAGATGGAATTGAACCTGGCGTCTTTGCGACAAATTTTTCAAAATTCAATTTCAAGTATAGGTATATCTTAAAACCACTTATAATTTTTAGTTAGTTAACAAAAAAAAAAGGTTTATTAAATCTTATGAATAATTTTTTAATAAATTAATGAGCAATTTAATATGCAGCAGGGTGGTGTAATGGTTAGGGCGTCTGGTTCTTTAGTCCTCACTGACTGGGTTCGAATACCACAAGATACCCGCATATAACATGCGATGCCTAAATCGTGCGTGTAGTTACTTCTGAGAAATTTTTAAGAGATGTTTTAAAATACGATATATAATTTTGAAAGGTGTAAAGAAGGATTTCGCATCCTTGGTCGACGAGATCGACTGCGGCTCTGTGGTGACATGTTTTGCCATCTCCGATTACAAACTTCATTTTTGTGTGGGAGAAAATTTTATCATTAGAAATGTTTATGGCCCGGATGAAGATTCCGTAAACAAAACTTACAAAGGACTGGAAAACCTGGCAGACATTTTAGTTCATGGGAATAAATTTTACTTTTACATCACTAAAAACGCCACTGGTGTCTTCTCATTCGGTTCACTGAACGCCACTGAATTCAAAGTAAATTCTATCGATATGTTGAGCCTGAAACACCCGGAATTCAGAAAAATCGAAAATATTTCTTGTTTTTCTTTGAGCGGTGACACTATAATTGCAGCTCGAAACGCAGATATTTTTGAACTGGAGAATAAAAATTTGAATGGAATCAAGATTGAAGGCTCGAACATATTTGGGAACATTTTGCATGTTGTCAAACTCTATGGTGGAAAATACGTGGTTGCTACTCAAGATGGCTTGAACCTATTTTGCAAAGGAAAAAATCAGATATCTGTTAGATGGGAAAATATTAAAATTTTAAATAGACTAGAGCAACAAACATCGCTGTACCAACGTTCATTCAAAACTTCTGGATACTCTGCAAATTCAACAACGGCTTATTTGTCTTTAGATTCATATGACAACATTTACGTAATTAGCAACCGCCTGGAGAAAATTATTTTTGTTTTTGATGGTAATTTAAACTTTTTATCTGAGATAAAAACTAAATTTGTTCCGAAAAAGTTACAAATAACAAAAGATAACAAGCTGTACGTCAGCTACCTCAATGAGCCTCACATTTCCGTCTACAAGCTCAACTTCTTTGAAAGGTCAGACGACACGGAATCAGATGTTCAAGCAGACCAAACTGAACAAACAGAAAAACAATTACAAGAACCTTCAGAAAATTGATAGACGTCCATTTGTTGAATTTTGTTTTTGTATACATTTTCCATTTTTAGCGCAACATACCTTTAACAAATAATTTAAAAATGATATCATTTATTCAAATAAATTATAAATCAAATACAAACAAATAAATGCAACTAAGTGATAAACTAAAACGTAATACTTACAATAGAGAGAACGTCAGAATATTTGTCAAAATTTAAAAAGTTATAAGCAGCTAGCCTTGTTTTTTTATCATTTAAATTCATTCATTCGGTCCGTTCACTTGTTCATTCGTTCATTCATTCATTCACCCATTCATTCATTCAGCACGTAACATGGTAGATGGTACTTCTACCGACTGAGCTAACTCGGTGGCTTTGACGTCATATTTTTTATTATAATTTCTGCAAGGAACCTCAACTATACTCAATGAAATCCGCCTTATGATGACACAATCGCTTCCAGATCAGCGTTTCGAGTCAGGTTACACTGTTCAATAATTGACCATATGTCTTGTCCATCCATTTAATGATTAAACATATAAATAATTCATGTAAATCACATTAAAACATGAATAATATTTTTGAATAATCATGTTCAAACATTTCTGCCTTCGTTGAGCAACTTTGGACTGGTCATCGATCGTTATTTTGTTAATTAGGCGCTTTAATTAATTTATTTCAATGACATTTGTAACGCCGATTAACTTTTGGTAACGAAGCATGTGATTCCGTTCTGGATTTGGTAAATAAAAAAAGCAAAACAATAGAGTTGACAGATTGAAAGAATTTTATCTCAAAGTTTAAAAAATTATTTCGTAAAAAATGAAATTAAAATAAAACTTCGATAGAACAGTTTCAGCAGTTTCGGTGGCTTTTTATTTTTATTTCTCCGTCTTTAAAACAGACAATGTTTCATTGATTGATTTGATTTGAATTTTGATTTTTTTTAATATATAAAATAAATTGTAATAGTTTTAATTAAAATTATAATATAAAAATTATTATTTATTTATTTATAATATTGGATTTATTTTTTTCGGATAGGCAATTTTATAAATAAAACAAAAGACTCAAACAACTCAACAACATCACAAAAAAGGATATGTTTACTTTTATTTGAAAACAGAAAATTAACTGTTAATAATCATTCTGGTTATGTTAAAACTGTTCTGTTGGTTGAATTGAACTACTTACTAAAACTAAAAGTGACTCAATAAACAAACAACAATCAGCAACAAACACACAACAACATAAAATAGATTATTTATTTATTATTAGTCTAGTTTAGTCTAGTCTAGTCTAGCTCTAGTTTTTGTCTCGAGTCCCTTTCAAACGTTGGCACAGGACAGCAGACAACGACCAATCAAAATGCAGAAAGAGAAACTGAAGATATCCGAGTACTTCAAGGCAGCTCTTAAAGTCTTTCATGCAGAAAATTATGACTTTGACATTCCTATTGAAAAGTATTAATTTTCTTCATCTCATTCTCTCTCTGTCTCTCTATCTCCTCTCTCTCTCTCTCTCAATAACAGTATCTTTTTTCTTTTTCTTCTACCTCTTTTCCCCTTTTTCTTTTTCTTCTTTTTTCTCTATAATATATAATTATAATAAATTATAATATTGTCGTATTTATTTTAATATTACAATTAATGGCATGTAATACTTAATTCAATTGATAAATTGATTTTAACATTTAATTTTAGTAATATGTAAGAGAATAAATGATTTTATACTAAAATATCTCAGTAAAGAATCTTCAAATGCTTTGTGCTGGTGTATTGAAGCTATCTTTCTACATAAGATGAAAAACTCGAGCAGTAATATCACTAACAGTCAGGTTGGTTGGTTGGTTAGTTGGTTGGTTGGTTGGTTGGTTGGTTGGCTGGTTGGTTGGTTGGTTTGTCAGCTTGTTGGTTTGTTGGGTTATTTAGTTGTTGGTTGTTTGGTTAGTTGGTTGGTTGGTTTGTCAGCTTGTTGGTTTGTTGGGTTATTTGGTTGTTTGGTTAGTTGGTTGGTTTGTTGAATGGTTGGTTGGTTTGTTGGTTGGCTGGTATATTGGTTGGCTTGTTTGTTGGCTGGCTGGTATGTTGGTTGATATGTTTGAGGTTCTTTTCATAGGTGAGCTGGTTGAATGCTTGTTAATTTGAATTATCTATAACAACACTTATAATTAAAAATAACCAATTTAAAAGTTAATTTAAATTGTTATTATTACCGATGAACATTTAGAGTTTTTGGAGTCTTTTGAAGTCGTACTTGCACAAGTCCTCCATCGATCAGATCAAAGGCTTCAAACAGATCACCAGTGACATTGGAAGATGTAGAGTGAGTTAATCATGATGATGATAATGGTGATGGTGATGATGATGGCGATGAAGAAGAAGAAGAGGATGATGATAATGATGACGATGATAATGAAGATGATGAAAATGGATTGTTTAATATTATTATTTTATTTTCAAATGCTTTTCACTTGGAAACTATTTTGTTCTCAAATTAATATAACCATTACATTTCTACATTTTTGAAGAATTTTTAATTTCCCTGTAGACTTCACCACCTAATTAACATAATTTCAATCTGACCATCTAATTAACATAATTACAATCTGACCACCTGATTAACATAATTACAACCTGATCACTTGATTAACATGATTACAACCTGATCACCTAATTAACATAAAATAGGCGTGGCTTCGCATGTCACTGAATGAGATGAGCCTGGAGGGCTACATGCACTCCATCCTGTCTGACACTTCCAATTTGAATAAACATTACTCCTCTACTGCGTTCATACTGGACAAGGAAGCCACTGCATTCATGATGCACTCTATCACCAGTAGGCTGTTTTTAAGAATTAATTAATTAACATATTAACGAACTAGCGTGTTATTGAATTAGCATATTATTGCATATGTTTGCATATGTTAGCAGTTACCAAATTGGGTTTCGAAGTTTTGTCATGCACTGCATTCGAATCAGGTCATTGCGCGATTGGTCATTAAAAAGGCGACCTAAAACTGCCGATGACCAATCAGCTGACCGGTCATCAAGCTCTTAACGTGCGAATAATTAGTGATCTACTGTTAATGTAGTTGAATAATTACTGATTATTTGTTCATTAAAATCTCTTAATGTAAATTTCGAACTTTGATGGTTTGAACTCATGTAATCAGCATGTTGACGCACACACACAAAACCTTTATCTCACGGACATACAAACACACAGTTGTATACACAGACAGCACACACACACTCATATACAACTTTAATCATTAACCATGCAAGCATACACACACACATACATGAACGCACACACTCACGCAAACGCACACTCGCGTGCACCTAGGTCTTTCAAAGTACCATTTCAATCTGTCTTGCAACTCAACTGTTCTTAACAAGTGGAACCTACCACCACTGCAACTTGCGTCTCTCACTACATCTGCCAGCCTCAAGTGGCCCGAACCTAAGAGAGGTTAGGATGATGATGATGATTATGGTGATGGTGATGATGATGATGATGATGATGGTGATGATGGTTATTTATAAGAGTAGTGATGATGATGATGGTAATGATGATAAGAGTAGTGATGATAGTGATATTCACGGAAATGTAAGCTATAGTAAAAAAAATCATTCATGCAATTATTTGTAGTTCGCTAATTAATGTATCAATTAAAAACTCAAACAATCCGTCAGTCAATCAATCATCCAATTAACCAACCAACTAATCATCCAATCAACCAACCAACCAACAATCATCCAATCAACCAGCCATCCAACCGATCAATCAATCATCCAATCAACCAACCAACAATCATTCAATCAACCAACCAACTAATCATCCAATCAACCAACCAACTAATCATCCAATCAACCAACCAACCAACAATCATCCAATCAACCAGCCATCCAACCGATCAATCAATCATGCAATCAATCAGCCAATCAATCAACCAACCAACCAACCAATCAACAACGACCCCACAGACTCAGGGCACAGACAGATCATATCACCCTGCTCGCTCAGCCTCTCGTCATGGGGCTCAAAGTTCTCCACACCGAATCGACCAGAAAGTCAGAAGATGTCTAGGCAGAACTCAGTTGTCTTCGAGCCTCTACCGGAAGAAGAAGCACCAACTGCAACCACTACTACCGCTGCTACTACTGCAGCTATTGTTGCTACTACTACTGCTTCTGCTATAAATAATGATGCTACTGCTACTGATAATATCGTTATTCCAAGGGGTAGTGTAGCAGTGGGTAGTGGTAGAAGCAACGGTGGTGGTGGTGGTGGTGGGGGTGTTAGTAAGTTAGGGAAGGTAAGTGATGTTGATACTGCAATGTTTGGTGCTGCCCGCTCATCGGTTGGTTCTGTTGACAGGGCTGGCCGTGTTTACCCTACAGAGAATGCTAACTTCTCTAGTACTTCTAATACTTCTTTTACTAAACTTGATGCTACTACTTCTGCTGCTGTCACCACTACTACTACTAAATCTAGTACTGCTACTGCCGCTACGACTACTACTACTAAATCTAGTACTGCTACTACTGCAGCTGCTGTGAATTTTGTCACTAAGGGGTTTAGAAACCCGGACAAAATGGACACGCTCTCTGACAAGATTGTCGCCAGCAGACTCCTCAACGGTGGCAGGCGGTCTGCAACTTCGTCCAGCCTCACGTCTCTCAAGAATAAAAACAACAACCCTTTCATCGACGATGACGACGACGATGATGACGTCACCAGATATTGTCGCGATGGGGATAAACATTTCGCCGATAGTATTACTACTTCTAATCATAGTAAGGTAGCTTCTTCTGACTGCAAAGCGGATAATCCTATTTTTACCTCTACTAAAGATAGCCGAACTGAAATCAACAATCCTTTTGTTGGTACTGCTACTACTAGCGAGAATAATGCTGTTGGTAATTCAGTGGCAAGTAGAAATGCTTCTGATGCTTCTGGTAGTGTAGCCGCTGCTACAAATGCTTCTGACGCCAGCGGTACCCCAATTATCGATCCAGCCATTTCAAATCCTAATATTCTGTACGCCCTGTCACTGAGTAGAGGGGAGATGGATGAGATTGTGTGTCCTGGACACGACGATGCGTCTGTGGTGAGTGGCTGTCGGAGTGGCTGTCGACGTAGCGTTTGTTGTGATTTTGGTGGGATCGACCTTCAGTTGCATAATCATTTTGTAATGATAATCAGTTGCATAAATATTATTTCATGATCATAATCAATTGCATGTTTATTCCAATTTCTACCATCTGCACCACTCTCTTTTCGTAAAATTGTTATTCTTCTCTTATTTTCAAACGTCACTCATCTTCATCGTAATGCTCACGGTCATTTGAATTTCTCTACATCCTGTCATTCTCATCATTATCTTCGTCGCCATCCATCTCAGAGCCAGACATCCAGTCCGGACTTCCGGGACGCCAGACAGGACTTCTACCAAACAGTTTACGGATTGGCCGGCGCCGACACTTCGTCATCCTCTTCCTCCTCCTCCTATTCCAACGACAACGGTTCTGGAGGCTTCGCTGGAGGTAGCACAAGGAGAAAAATAATCCCCGACTACAAAAACCTCCTGAAGGATTCCATCTCGGAGGTGGACCCCAACCAAGAAGAGGCCGCCGGTGGCGTCGCTTGTGGTAGCAGCGTGCCTAGGGCAGCGAGAACCGGCACCGCTAAAACCGTTAAAGATGACGTCATCGGTAATGTCGGTGAAAATGTTACCGATATTTATAAAGATGCGATTAACGGTAATAAAAACGACGAGTGTGTTATTGGTGGTGGTGGGGGTAAAGGGGTTGTTCCAAATGGGGTGAATAAGCGGACTGGTGGTTTGTTGGTGGGTAATAGGAAGTCAAGCGGAAATGTGAAGATGCTTGGACAGTCACCTATCCAGCCCGTCTCTACCATGCTGAGTTTGTTGTCTGGTAGGAATCTGGATCACGTGGACAACAGTAGTGGTAGCGGTGGTGGTGGTGGCGCCGGTGGCTTCATCAGCAGTAAGATTGTGCCTGATTCGAGAAGTGGTTAGTGGCTGTGGTTGTTTGTTGTGGTATGTGGCTGCTGGGGTGTCTGTGTCTCATCAACATTCATAATTTTGCCAAATTATCTTCATCAATATTCATAATTTTACATAATTATCCTCATTAATATTCATAATTTTACATAATTATCCTCATCAACATCCATAATTTTACATAATTATTTATAACCACATTTAATAATTATTCCACAATAAATAATAATAATAAATTATAAATAATCATAATAATAATAATAACCTTTCCTCTTACAGATGACATGAGGTTCAAATACATTATAAAGAACAACCTCGACAATCTGCCCTTGAACTTTGACCAGCAGCAGCTGCAACAAGAGTTGATGGTCGCCAGCAACAAAGGAGTGAATTTGTTGGAGGAAGCTGAGCACAAAGAAGAGCAACCGGAAGGTGATGTTGTTGTTGTTGGTGCCGCTGTTGCTGTTGTTGTTGTTGGTGCTGCTGCTGTTGTTGTTGTTGGTGTTGCTGCTGTTGTTGGTACTATTGTTGTTGTTGCTGTTGGTGGTGTTTTTTGTGGTATAATAGTTAGAGGCGCCTGGTTCAGCGCTGCCTTACTTAGTGACCGAGTTCGAATGCAAAGAGATCCCAATCTATCATCCATAATCAGTAGGTGTGATGAGTTGGCTCTTGCTGGTGCGCGCGGCGTGCGTGCGTGTGTGTGCGTGCGTGTGTGTGCGTGTGCGTGTGTGTGTGTGTGTGGGTGTATGAGAAATAATGCCACACTGTTGCTACTTTAACATCATCGCCACAACACAACTATCGATTTAGAATCCTTTGACCAGTTGCTGAAAAACTACAACGGCCAGACGGACGTCAATCACATCCTGCCCCCCGAAACTGTTGATGACATAATTGGGAAACTTGTCGCAAGAACAGCCCAATTGAAGGTAGGTGTGTTTGTGTGTGTTTGTGTGTGTGTGTGTGTGTGTGTTTACTTGTTTGTGTGTTTATGTAGGTACGCAAGTATGGGTGTTTGTGTATGTGTGTGTGTATGTGTGTATGTGTGTGTGTGTTTACTTGTTTGTGTATTTATGAAGATATGCAAGTATGTGTGTTTGTGTATGTGTGTGTGTGTTTACTTGTTTGTGTGTTTATGAAGGCATGCAAGTATGTGTGTGTGTGTTTACTTGTTTGTGTATTTATGAAGATATGCAAGTATGTGTGTGTGTATCTTTACTGGTTTGATAAGTAAACCAATTGTGAATTGTGTGTTTGTGTGTGTTTGTATGTTTGTATGTATGTCTGTATTTTGAATTTCTCTATAATTTATTGCCTCACATTCATCTATCAACACGAATTTTCAGAGAAATTAATAATGACCATGGATTAGAAAGTGTCATATAAACTTTTGCATGTTATAAGCGTTGAAGGATGACTTTTTTTTGGGTAAATGCTGTGGGGTAAACTCCACGAAGGGTGATTCATTTCTCTATACTATGTAATTCTCACAGCAGAAAGAAGCTAGCGAGTCAGATAGTGCCAATCCGGGAGTTTCAGAAGAGGTAGTTTAGTCGCTATTTCGATGGACATTGGTGACGTCACCGGTGACGTCACAATGTTCTAATCATTTTTTAGAGAATGATGGAAATAAAGAACGTCATCGTCGTAATCAGCATCATCATCATCGTCATCATTATCGTCATCATCATCATTATAGTCATCATCATCATCATTATCGTCGTCATCATCATCATCATCGTCGTCATCATCATCATCATCGTCGTCGTCGTAATTATCATCAGCATTATTACCATCATCATAATCATCATCACCAGGAGGAATACACGCTGATAAGGAACGAGAGAGGTCTTGCCTCACAGAAGTATCAATGCAAGATGTGTTACGCACCTATTGGTGTCTGTTAGTGTTGTTATTGTTGTTGGTGTTGTCATTGTTGTTGTTGTTGACAATGTTGTGGTGGTGGTAGTGTTATTATGTTGTTTTTGATGATGCTGTTATGTTGACGCTGTTGTTGTTGAATGTTGTTGTTGAATGTTGTTGTTGAATGTTGCTGTTGATGTTGTTGTTGAATGTTGCTGTTGTTGTTGTCGTCGTTGTTGATGCTGCTGTTGAATGTTGCTGTTGATGTTGTTGTTGAATGTTGCTCTTGATGTTGTTGCTGAATGTAGTTGTTGTTATTGAATGTGGTTGTTGTTGAATGTCGCCACACGCACCACCACCACCGCAACCTACTTGCAGTCTTCGGTAAGGAGCGCTCCTGCTCATTCGACGGCTGCTACTACTGCACCGAGTGTCTCCAGCAGAGTGAGGCCTACATTCCCAGAAAGATTGTTTACAATTGGGATTTCAGGCATTATAAAGGCTGGTCTTCTGTCTGTCTGTTAATCATTCATTCACTCATTCATTCACTCATTCATTCACTCATTCATTCACTCATTCATTCACTCATTCATTCACTCATTCATTCACTCATTCATTTATTCATTCATTCATTCACTCATTCATTCACTCATTCATTCACTCATTCATTCACTCATTCATTCACTCATTCATTCACTCATTCATTCACTCATTCATTCACTCATTCATTCACTCATTCATTCACTCATTCATTCACTCATTCGTTTTTTCATTTATTCAATTATTCATCCATTCATTATTTCATTCGGCTTGTCATTCACTCACTCCCTCACACTTTTATTCATTCACAAATGTTTTGATCAATTAAAAATGTTCAATTGCGGTTTAAAGTTAGTTGGTTGGTGGCTCAACGGTTTGGATCGTTAAGTTGTCTGTTTATCATGTCGTAGTAAGCTGGTTCGAGCGCTTATGATTCCTTGCTCTTATCCTGTTGAAGAATCTTCTTTCGTTTGCTGGTATTAAGCGGTGGGATGGGAGCGCGGTGGTTGGAACGGTTGGTCTTACACTGCAGTGACCGTGTTCGAATGCAAGTGAATCCCCGAATCCCCGCTTAGTTGATACCAGACCTCTGTATATTGTTAATTATTGTTATTGTCATTTAATTATTGTAATTTATGCATTACGATGTTTTCTATTTATAGTGTCCAATAAAAATTATGAATACCTAATGAGCAAGAAGGACACGCCCCTCATTAATATTCAGAACCTCAACCCCAGCCTCTATGATCACGTGCCTGCATTAGACGATTGCAAAGTTAGTTGAGTGACTGATTTACTCTTGATTGATGGATGGATTGGTTGGTTGATCTCAAACTGACATTTATACACACACACACCACACACACACACACACGCACACACACACACACACACGTACAGATAGCCCGCACCAAACTTCGTTCTTTGAAGACTTACCTTCAGACATGCAGATCTGAACTTTTGAAAGAACTTCACAGACTTCTGAACGGCCATGAACACCTCTACCAACATGTTCACCAGTATTCAATTGAGGTTGGTTGAATGAATGGATGAATGAATCCAATCAATCATCCAATTAATCATTCAATTTATTAATCAATCATTCAATCATCCAATTAATCAATCAACTAATCAACCAACCAACCAACCAACAAATCAATCAAGGACCTGGTCTCAGTTCCTTCTGGTTCCCTGCTAAAAACCCTGAACAAGAGCATAACCTTTGCGGTGGACCACGTAAGGTCGTGCCCCCTGTGCAGTCAGAAGGGCTTCTACTGCGAGATCTGTCGGGCCGATAAGATCATCTACCCCTTTGAAGTTGACAATACAGTTAGGGTTGGTAGTTGCATGTGTGTTTGTGTGCGCCTGTGTTTGTGTGTTTATGTGTGTGTGTGTTTATGTATACGCCTGTGTTTGTGTTTGTGTGTTTATGTGGGTGTGTGTTTGTGTGTACGCCTGTGGTGTGTGTGTGTCTGTTTATGTGTGTGTGTTTATGTGTGTACGTGTATGTGTGTGTATGTTTATATATATATGTGTTTTAAATTAAAAGTCACAAATTATTTATTATTATAATTAATATTAACTATTATTATAATTAATATTAATTATTTTTATAATTGAAATAATTACTGTTTCAGTGTCCTAGCTGCAAAGCCCTCTACCACGCCTCCTGCAAAACGCCTCAAGTTTCCTGTCCGAAATGTCTGCGATTGGCTACGAGGAACCGCCTGACTCCTCCCACTGACAGCCCTCTGGCCAATCAGCTGTCTCGATCAAGTGCGGGTGACATGCAAGGAAGCATAAATTTCACTTTTAATGCCGCTAGTCAAGATAAACAGATCAGGGTCTGATGGTGAGGATGATGATGATAAAGGAGAAGAAGATGGTGGTGAAGTAGAAGATGATGATGATGGTAATGATGAAGGAGAAGATGATGAGGAAGGAAAAGAAGAAGATGAGGATGATGATGATAGTGAAGGAGAAGATGATGATGATGGTGATGATGAAGAAGAAGATGATGATGACGACGTCGCTGATGATGATGACGACGATGATGATGTTGATAAACCTGACGATGATGGTGTTGTTAAACCTGATGATGATGACGACGATGGTGATAGTATTCACATTGTTGAAATCATACTCCGCTAACTTACGAATCTATGCTACTACTGCTACTGATTAAATTGATGATTACAACCATGATGTTGATGATGAAATTATATAATTGTGATAATGACACTTTATATATATATATATATATATATATATATATATATATATATATATATATATATATATATATATATATATATGGAAAGAGAGAGAGAGAGAGAGAGAAAAATGCAGACTGTCAGAAATGCAATTATTGCTGTGATTTCATTTATATATGTATTAATATATATATTTGTGTTTGTGTGTGTATGTGTGTGTGTGTGTGTGTGTGTGTGTGTGTGTGTGTGTGTGTGTGTGTGTGTACATATATATCTGTACTGTACATATGTATATATTGATATTTCTGTTCTGTATGAACACTTTTATTACGCAACGGACATAATAATTGAATTGCGCGCCAATCAAAGATTCTTATTATTAAATTTTATTTTCATTTCCATTAACTTCATCAATACATTTGTTTGTCTCTTGTTTCTTTTTTAACTTAGTAGTCATAATTAAGTGTTAATTTATATTATTATTATAGTTATTATTTCTTTTATTATTATTATAGTTATTATTTCTTTTATTATTATTATAGTTATTATTTCTTTTATTATTATTATAGTTTTTGTTGTTGTATTCGGGTGATTCGGTGGCCTGACGGTCTAAAGTGCCGGGTTATTGAAGTTGCAGTTACCAGGTTCGAACGCAGAGAAGATTCCCGCCTGTCATGTGCAATGTTTCTCTCTTCCGCGCGGCCACGAGCCTATTCATGTCTGTGAGTGGGTCGTTTGAACTTTTCATCAGAGATTGACCTTTGACATTTGACTTTTATCATTATTATTATTGTTATCATCATTTATTTATTATTATTATAATTTATTATTATTATTTATTATTATTATTTATTATTATTATAATTTATTATTATTATTTATTATTATTATTTATATCATGATTATTTGATGATGCTCATCGAACAAACATTAGTTAACCATGCCTGCATTAAAAATACTACCACGTACTTCACACGCACGCACGCACACATATACGCACACAAACTCAGACATATATACACACATTAGTTAACGAGATGTTTCGATTGTGTGTTTGTGTGTGGTATGTGTTTGTATGTTGCTTGTATGTGTGTGTGTATGCGTTTTTTTGTGTGTGTGTGTTGTGTGTGTGGTGTGTGTGTGTATCTGTATTTGACATTTGTGTAATTGGTATGTTGTTTTGTGTGTGTGTATTTTTTGTATGATATTTGTATGTGTGTAATTTGTGTATATGTATGTAATTAGTCATCTAATCATTTGTACATTTATGCCATATTTGAATGTAGTTATTTATTTAGGAAAGTATTTTGTAAAGTAATGCGTCCGCGCGCGTGTGTGTGTGTGTGCGTGTGTGTTTGCATGTATGTGTGTATATGTGTGCGTGTGTGTTTGCATGTATGTGTGTGTGTGTGTGTTTGTGTGTTTTCTTTATATCAGACGGAGATTTACAATACTATGCAGTCAGTCAGTCGATCAGTCATAAAGCAAATTAATAAAGCGATGTTAGGGATGATGATTAAAAAGTGATGACTATGTTGAGAAGAAGCTTAGTGATAAAAGTAGATAGATAAAAGTAGTTAGATATGTAAAATTAGTGGATGGATCGATAGATAGATAGATAGGTAGGTAGGTAGGTAGGTAGATAGATAGGTAGGTAGGTAGATAGATAGATAGATAGATAGATAGATAGATAGATAGATAGATAGATAGATAGATAGATAGATAGATAGATAGATAGATAGATAGATAGATAGATAGATAGATAGATAGATAGATAGATAGATAGATAGAGAGAGAGAGAGACATTTTACAAATATTTTTTCAACATACATACATTCTTACATACACATACACGCTAAACACACATATATTCATACATATATATCAGATGTATATAGACACAGTTATTGTTTATTACATGAGATTGCATTACACAACTTTGATCTTACTCTTTTTATTATAATGTTTTCTTAGATTTTTTTTATAAAATTTTGTCATTATAATGTTTTCTTAAATTTTTTAATAAAATTTATTCAATTTACATATTTACTATTAGATTATTGTCTGTCTGAAACCCAGACTACCATGTGACACGCCTGCATATAATGTTGTGACTTCCATGTACTGTACACACATAATGCGTCGTGTGGTGTTGAAAGTAAAGTCAGTTCTAGTTCTCGATATTATTATGGTTATTTTTAATAAATCCCTGCGTGTGTGTGTGCGTGTGTGTGTGTGTGCCTGTGTGTGTGGATGATTGTGTTAATATTAGCCTATATGTTTTTATTATCATCAGTATGGCATTGTATGTAATATCTTTTTGTCAATAATCACCATCAAATCAATCTTCTTCGAACTCCAACCAAGACTCAAATATCATTCACACACACACACACACACACACACACACACACACACACACACACACACACACACACACTTATTTAATTATTATTTTTAGACTTTTTCCTATATTATTTCATCCTAATTAAAATTATTATGAACCTATATATATATGTATGTATATATGTGTATATATATATATATATATATATATATATATATATATATATATATATATATATATACACTTTTGAAAAACAATTTAATTAGCACCGATATAAATATTCTAATGATGATATATGTTCATAAAACACATTTATTTATTTATTTGTTTGTTTATATCTGTGCCTTACCATAACACTAATATTTAAACATTAATTATGTTAATTTATTATACATGCTGATTGAATAAATTATTTATAATATATTTCATTATAAAGATCAGCTATTATAACGGGTTAGTGTGTGTGTGATGAGTTGAGTTTCTAATGTTACGCGAAGATTTGTATTTAGGCTAAAGTCCTCAGAGATCCTATTCTCATTAAAACTAGAATAAAGTTAATTCGAATGCTGTGATACTTAATTTGAAAGCAAATGTGAAGTATGAATAGATTTTTCCGAAGAAGGATTGGGTAAAATCTATTTCTGTGTATGAATGATATTGTATTCAATTTAGCTGTTTATATGTATGCATTTATGTATATAACATAACTTTGTATGTGTCAGTGCATGTATGTTTGTGTGTATGCAGTATATTTGTATGTTTCCTTGTTTGTTTGTATTGATGTATGTATGTATACTCCCATACATACATGTTGAAGAGTTTACCATGTTGAAGAGGAAAAAATAGTTATTAGGTTATATTATTATTTTTTATATGTTTGTTTGTCTAGATGTATTTATGTATGCATGCAAGTATGATTATAAGTTTGTCTCTATGGATGTGTTTATGTGTGTATGCGGCGTGTATATGTGTGTATGGTTATGAATGTGGAAAAATAAATGTTCAAAGAGAAGTTAATTAGTGAGGAACTAAGCAAAAAAAATTTTCCAATTGTAAATGCAACGTTAAAAGAACAATGCAAGTTTCGTGACGAGTTTGCTTCGTGAGACATTCGTTCCAGAGTCTTCAGAAAATTTTCATCATAATTTGTCCTTTGTCTCTTCTGGTGAATATGATTTGATTGACGAGCATAACTATCGTGTAATGTTGAACGTCTTTGTTGTATTTTTCAAACATTAAGACATTACGTAGCTATACGGTACCTGTCTTTATTGATCTACATCCATGTTTTGTGACAAACAAAATATCTGAAATAACTGTTGTTGTTTGAATTTTATATTATGATACAGATTGCTGGCGTTTGTATCATAGAGGTTGTAACAAAAACAGAACAAGGCAGTTGAACTAAGATTTTTGAAAATTTTGCAAGTTCAACTCCTCAAAAAAATGAAAATGACAAGTGATTTAGTCATTAAAATTAGTAGATGCTCTCATGTTTGGCAGATGATGACGTTGGTCCAGCTAGCAATATTACTTCTACCAAGAAGTGTTCCCGTCCTGGGTGATCTCTTTTTGAAATGCCCATTAAATGACGAGAGCTCCGTCGATTCCTGCTGCTCAGATGATCCGGATTTGATTCTGAAGAATGTTGAATCGGTAAAAATGTGCGCAATCGAATGTAGTCGACGTGACGGAATCAACAACTCACTCAAGAATGGAACATCCACAAGACCACCTGTTCTCTATCCGAATGTTACTTACCGAAAAATTGCACCCAACCTATTTAACGTGGTCATGCATTACCTGTCCTTCAACACGTCCCTATTCCCGAATATCCCCAATGCGTTTGTGAAGTCGGGCGTCGGATCGTGTTACGGCTTCAATTATTATACGCTGGCCTCCTCCAGAGAATGTCATTTGTTTGGAGTCAGAGGGGAGTACAACGTGACTGGTAGTAACAACTGTTGGTTCTATCAGGTAGTCGTTCGTTCTATCAGTTTGTTGTTCGTTCTATCGGTTTGTTGTTCGTTCTATCGGGTTGTTGTTCGTTCTATCGGGTTGTTGTTCGTTGTATCAGGTTGTCGTTCGTTCTATCGGGTTGTTGTTCGTTGTATCAGGTTGTTATTCGTTGTATCAGGTTGTCGTTCGT